GTCGTCGACTAATCGACTAATCGTGGCAGCCCTAATGGGAAGTAGTAAAAATATGTATTCCCACAGTTTTCCGAAGCTTAATAAAAGTAATAAATTCTTCTGTTTCCTTTTTCTAAATCACACAGAAATGATTGATAAACGGGTTTGGGAGTTCGGGTGCTTTGAGGGCCATGGGCAATAACTATTGTCATTTTTACTGAATATTATTTTTATTTTAATGAAATCTTCACAAAGTAATCATTGGATGTTCATCTATATCAGATTAACTTTTTGACCCGATCCAAATCAGAATGGCTGCCACAGCTAAATAATCTTAGAAATGTAAAAAAAAGGCTTTAATTGGGTAAACTKTAYAKATKCTGCCCTAAAATTTGGTGTGRTAGYAGCCCAGACTGAACMCAACCAWGTAATTTGAGCTTTATCAGTTTGCACCAAAGCTTTGTTTAAAATTTTGCCATCAACTATCTCTATTTTATGTCTGTTATCAAAMTATCTCACTGAATCAGTGGGCGAATTTTAATTAAAATATCAGAAAATATTTATTGGGTACCTCCATGACTGATTAACTTTTGGAGCGTGCCCAATTCAAGATGGCTGCCGCAGCCACTTGACCTTAGAAGACACAAACATTGCTACAACTCGGTCAGTTTTACACATATTGAGCTAACATGATGCAGTATAGCCATAACCCAGGAACCAYGATGTGAATTTGCAACATGTGAGGATTCAGGTTAATAAGAATGGGGCTTTTGGAACCAGTTAGTCTCATGCAGAGACACTGGCTGATCTGCACCTGCAGTGATCAAATCTGAGTCAGCAGCTCTTAACACAACGCCATGTTACACTTCTGTAAAACTACAAACAGACTGAATTCAGCAGCCTCAAGCAACATTTCTGTGGAAGTATTTAACTTGACCTGACCACTTCTGTCTGCTAAATTGCCTGGAAAAAATAACAGAACAGGTCATTACACCTAAACAAACACAAGAGAGACAGATGTTTACCAACTCCGTACATTACTTGCAGTCAGTTGAGATGTTTAGCCGTCATGTGTTCAACTCTAGCATATAGGAATTAAAAATGTCGRTGCTTTTTAGCTTTGCATTACCCAAATGTTATAACATTGATAATAATAAACACCATGCAGACCCTTGGGTTAGGGGTGAGTATACCTCATAAATTATCAATTGTTTAGGCTCTACTTTAAGTGCATAATAATTATCTCATTTATCAAGAGGGACTGAAGGAGGAGAATGGAATGATAAAGTTTATCAGTGAGCATTAAGGTCGACAAAAAGGTCAAGAAGGATGACCGGAATTAGTGGGACCAGATGTTCAGTTGGTAAGGAAATGTTTTTGTTATCTGCAGAAACTTGTACAGTAATGATGGCGAGTACGTAATAATGTGGAAATGATCTTTTTTTTTAACTAAAGAAACACCCAAAAGATATTCAAGAAATGTCTAAAGCTTTTTGCAGTATATTTAACAAAAGAAATGGCACGTCTAAAAAGAAAATACTTTTAATTTTGTTTGTTCTCCACTCGYCCTCAAATTTAAGCAACTAAACAAGCTTTCATTTTAGATACCTGAAAGTGCATCTTATCAGTTTAACTGCAAAAGTAATGCTCAGAAAATAAAGTAGACAGAAAAAAACTATGCAATCCATTAAGTTCATAAATTTTAATTCARCGTTGATACTAGTATCATTGTGTACTTTAGTGTTTGATTGTGGTGGWATTGTAACAATTAAAACATTATTATCAATATTGCTAACTAGTATTAGTAGCAGCAGCATCTCAAAGTGATGCAGAATATCTAATTATATTATTAGCTCACACAAAGAAGTAAATGTTAGTCTTCAGATGAAGTGTTTCCTCAAATAGCTGTGAAGGCCTACTTTTGAAGCACTTGCTTTCTTTTGATCTGCTAGACTTGTGCCGTTTCTTCCACTTTTTCATTTCTAATTTAAGTAGTAAACTTGTTATCTGGTTATTTTTAATTCTTTTCAGAAGTTCGCAGATATTTGATTTTTGTCTAAAGCTGTTTCCTCTCTTGCGTTCACTCCTCACATCAGCGATGTAGACAGACTACTGCTTAGTGTTAGAATGAAACAGTAAAAATTAGTGCCGTTCACCACAGACTGAGTTTCACATCAACGTTTCTTTTTCTAACTCTAGTACATTTTGTCTTCATTATGGTGAACTCTGCTGGTGTCATCCTCTTTCTGGTTACTTGCCTTTTTTTTAACTTTCATGATCTATCTACGTTGTTTTTGATGACAACAGCTACACACATGAAACCACAAACCAAGCCTGAGCTGGAAACCTTAGAATAACGTAAAGAGAACAGTGGATTTGACGATGTGTTGTGGTCTAACAAAACGTCTCACTGTCATATTTGGTCTCTAACGCTGTCTGTTCTCCTTTCTGTAAGTGTGAAAAGTATAGCATTTCTGTTTTAGAGCTGCAATGTTAATGAGGGGTCAAAAAATTGCACATTATACCTAGAATGCTTCTGTTGTGGTGAGCACAGGTTTTGTAAAGTGCATTTGCTCATCTCTTCAAGCCAAAAGTACAAGCAGATTGTGGGTGTAAGCAGGCTCTAGTCTGTTAAGCATCCGAATTACAAAATTGTTTTCAATCTTTCTCTATAAAAACAACATTTACGCTTAGATTGATTCATGATTTCTCTAACTGCAGACTGTTTAAATGCAGATGATTTAATTCATTCATTCATTCATTCATTCATTCATTCATTCATTCATTGAGTGACAGCTAAAATAATGGTGAAACATTGGCTATAATATAGTATCAGCAAATAAGCAGTCTGGTCTTGCATGTGAACACATCTTTGACTTTTCTTAGTGTACAGGAAGTTYAGTACATTTTGAATTTGGTCATGGTTTGAAGAAACTGGTTGATTTGGAACTAAGATTACTAAGTGTCACTCTAACCAGATATGGTTATGTGGATGCTTTTGTTATATAAT